CTGTCCCTCCACACCCCCAAGCATGACATCCCTCTCCAAGGACTGATCCTGCCTTGAAACATGTCCAAAGTATGTCAGACGAAGCTTCAGAATCCTTGCCTCCAAGGAACAGCCTGGTTTCACCCTCTCCAGGCCAAATCTGTTTGTTCTCCTAGCAGTTCATGGTATATTCAACACTCTTCTCCAGCACCACAGCTCAAAGGCATCAATTCTTCTTCTTTCATCACTAGTCACCGTCTACCTTTCTGATGTGTAGCACAGAATTGCAAAGACCATTGTCTCGATCAGGTGTACCTTTGTCTCCACACTGACACTGCTGCTTTTCAGTACTCTGGAGAGGTCCCTGACAGCAGACTTTCCAAATGTGATTTGTCTTTTGATTTCCTGGCTGCTGGTATCAAGAGGGTTGACTGTGGAGTCAAGCAAACTAAAGCTGTTAGCAACCTCAGTCTCTTCACCATCTATGCTGATGATGCCAATCGGCCCAGTAATGAGAATTTTTGTTTTCTTGATGTTGAGCTTCAATCCATATTGAAGGCTACAGTCCTTGACCTTCTGCAGCAAAAGCTTCAGGTCCTTCTCAGTTTCAGCAAGCAGGGTGGTATTATCTACACAACACAGGTTATTAATGAGTCTTCTTCTAATCATGATGCCACATTCCTCTGCAGAGCCAAGCTTCCAGATGGTCTGTTCCACATATAGATTGAAAAGGTATGGAGATAGGACACATCCCTGGTGTACACCCTTTCCAATTCTGAACCATGCAGTGTTCCCTTGCTCTTTCCTGACAACTGCCTCCTGGTCCAAGTATATGTTTCACATAAGCACAATCAAGAGTTCGGGGATTCCCATTCTTCTTGGAGTTAGCCACATTGGTCAATGTGACTGCCGCAATGCGCTTTTGTGTGTCAGGCAATGTGAGAATGGCACAGGATAGAACAGGGTTCCAATCTTTTGTTCATAAGGTCACTATGAGTTGTACTCAACTAGACGGCACCTAACAACAATACAGTGTAACTCAAAAACCCACTGCTGTTATGCATAGAATTGTGTGCCTCAAAATATGCATTAGAATCCAAACTTCCAAACAAAGTGGGTGGAAAAAAAATACCATACTTGGTTATTGGTTTTAGTTGGTCTCAACACTTCAACAGCAAGAAACCAAAAATCTTCATCAGTGGACCAATAGGCAGGATCATGATAGATGAAGAAAAGATAAAGGTGTCCACTATTTCATTCAGCCTCCAGGCTGGACTTTACAAGGAGGAATGTGGTATCAGAATTGGAGGAAGAAAAACAAAAACAACCAAAAACACAACTCATCAACAACCTGCCTTAGGCAGGAAGACCTGAAGTATCTGCTGGAGAAGGTCAAGGACTGCAGCTTTCAATATGGACTGAAGCTCAGCATCAAGAAAACGAAGACTCTCACCATTGAGCCAATCAACAGCTTCATGATGGATGAAAAGACTCAGAGTGTTAACAGCTGCAGCTTGCTTGTTTCCACAATCAACACTCTTGTTACCAGCAGCCAGGAAATCAAAAGATGAATTGCATTGGAAAATCTGCTGTCAGGGACCTCTCCAGAGTACTAAAGAACAACAAACAACGTTAGTCTAGAGACTAAGGTGCACCTGAACCAAGCCATGGTCTTCCCAATTACTTGCTAAGCATCAGAGAGCTAGACAATGAATAAGGATGACAAAAGAAAGATTGAAGGATTGAAGTCTTTGAGTTGTGGTGCTGGAGAAGAGTACTGAACATCCCATGGACTGCTAAGAGAATAGACAGCTCTGTTGCAGAAAGACTGAAACCAGGCTGCTCCTTTGGAGGCATGGATTTTGAAGCTCAGTCTCACATACTTTGGGCATGTTGCCAGAAGGGTCCAGTCCTTGTAGAAGGGCATGTTTCTAAAAGTGGAGGGACAGCACAAGAGAGGAAGACCCTGGATGAGATGGATTGATGCGGTAAGAGGGGTAGGTATGTTAGTTGTTGTTGTTGTTATATGCCATCAAGTCACCTGCAACTCACAGTGACCCTACCCCTCAGCACACTGGAGGAGACTGTACACCTTTCTCTCAACCGGCAGTTGGTGGATTTGAATCACTTGCCTTTGGGTTGGCAGGGCAGTTCTTTACCCACTAGGTCACCAGAGCCCCCTCTCTGTAGGAAGAAGAAATCAAGTATCTAGCTAGTTGCTTCTACAAACAATTGCCCTGTTACCACAAGAGCAGAAGAGCTGGATGGTCCCTACCTATCATTGTTGTTGCTGTTGTTTTTGTTGTTAAGAGCCATTAAGTCGCAGGCGACTCATAGAGACCCTATGAAGGAGAGTCCTCGACACCTGTGTGTCTTTAATCCTCTCTCCAGGTTCACAGGGTTTCCGGAGGCAAGCTATTATGGAAGTGGATGCCACTCCTGCTTCCAAGCTTGTTTTAACAGGGGAGTTTCACCCAACACTGTCCGCCATGGGTAAACAACTATTAACGCATTTGACACATCAGCGTCACAGTGTTCAGCCTCACATTACTGACCTTAATAATCAAAGAGCCTAAAGAAGAATCTTGATCAAAAGGGGTAAAATGCAGATAAAAACGTCAAATTCTTCTAGAACTTGGGTGTTCTAAGGCAATAAAGGCTGCATAAATCCCTGAAACAACTGCCCTGAGAAAATCCTTAAACCTGAAACCTCACACCAAAAATACCCTTCTATGTTTTCTTAAAACTACAGTTTAACTTAAATGTTGTTCATTGCCATCAAGTCAGAACCAACACACGGCTGAGCCTCCAGCAGGTTACGAGAGGCTATAAACTGCACAGAACAGACAGCCTACCCTTCTCCCTAATGGCTGCTGATGGATTCTAACTGCTTGGCAGCTGGGCTGGCAGTACGACTCCTTACCTACTACGCCGTCAGGGTTCCTAACTAGCAAAGAATATTTGCCTTGAGCATTGTTCTATTTTAAGATCTATCTATGCATGATCGAATTCACAGCAGCAACTTGGAAGTTTAATGGGAAGAGTCAGTTCATATTGACGTAGACAAGTAATTCAGAAAAGGGGAGGAAAGACTAATTGTACAACTTTAGCGCAATGTCACTGAATTCTATTATTAGGGATTGTTAAATTTGTATACGTTCTGCTGTATATATTCTCAAGAACAACAAAAAATAAGTTATGGGAGAAAAATAACTTCAGCCAAGAAAACCCTCTGGGGAAGTTTCTGCACGTGGCTTCTGAAATGACTAGATGGTATCTACCAAAAAAATATCTGGAGATATCATTTGATATCATATCATTTGAGTGAAATGATGTTAGGACATTATTGAGGACACAGCAGTGTGTGTTTTAAACCTAATGACTTTTGAGATATAAAAAGAGCAGATGAGATGCCAAGAGAGTGAAGCAAGTACAAATGGGGAAGAGAGAGATGTCTCTTGGGATCACCAAGGAACAGAGGAACAGAAGCTGAGTGTCTACGACTTTCCTCAAGAGCTGAGTGAGAACCTTGCCCTTGACCCAGTGTCCTACATTATGGCTTCCGGTCCTCCTAAATGGTGAGAAAACAAGTATGCTAAAGTCACCCACTGGTGGTACTGATTACAACAGCACTAGTAAACTAAGATAACCAAGCACACGAGGATAGCTCAAAACACTTAAGAACTAAGATGAAATAATGCTACTAATTTCCCATGTCTTTCACTTGCTTGATCAAAGGAAAATGACACACCACTTTCTAAATTGTTAATTTCATCACAAGTAATAATTTTCTTCATTATTCAATGATAATCTAGAGACTAATTAGCTAATAGTTGTAAAGTGCTGAGACCAATGAAAGAAAAATGCCATAAATCTAATTATGAAATGACAGAAACCATAAACATTACACTCATTTCAAAACTTGAAAAACTGAGACTGTGAGGAAAAGTTAAAATCAACTCTGACAGCCACAAGTAATAACAGAAAAAGATTTGTGTTGCTCACAAGCGAGCTTACACTTTAATTTGTAGCTGTCAGATGCTTCTGCACTCTGGGAACACTTCACTTGCGTTTAAGGAGCTGTGAAGTACACAAAGTGCCAAAGTACAGAAAGATGGCTGTTCAAACAGTTAACTGTTGATGGGACGGTGTCTAATCTCAGTGCTGCTTAATTAAGACAGTCTATCTTAGCAAACATCAAGTAAACACTCAATATCCTACAGAAACACAAATCACTGTTTAAAAGGCTATGAAAAATAAATAAATTAAAATATTTAAAAAACACCCAAAAAAAGGCTATGGATAGAACAATGGTAACTATATAAAATACCGACTGATCGTGTAAAACACAAAAGTACATGTACAAAACATAATGTAGATGAAGGATTATATGTAACCCAATTTTTTTTTTTAAAATGTAAGGCTCTGGATACTTCATTGCTGTCTACCAGTAAAATGTCACAGCAGCAAAGTGCCCTTTCTTACCAACTGCCTTCTTTACCTAACTTCTTTCCACTTGAAAACACTTTGTTGGGTTGTGTTTGTCTAAAAACTCTTAATAGAGAAAGACTGGGGAATTAACAGCTCTAAGTCCAGCTGAGGGTGAGCTCCTGAAGCAGATGGGGTGGAGGTGATGTGGTCCACCTGCAGCCCAATGAATGGCACGAGGTGACAGGCAAGGGGCGGCTGCCAGCATCGCGTCCCAGGCAGCCTCTTCCTCCAGGCAGGCTCCTCGCCTGCGCCTGGCACTCGCGTCGCTAAGGGCGAGGAGCGAGGCACCCGCAGCCCGACCCCGCTCCCAGGTGAGGGCTGGGACGGCCGGGAGGGCTTCTTCGCCACCAGCCCCCGCAGGATGCTGCGGGGAACGGTGCCCCCCAAAGCCACGAAGAGCCGAGGAGCTCGAGTCCGCCCCTTAACCTCCTGCAGACCAGGGGGGGGTCCCTGCTGCCTCCACTCTCCACGAGGAGGTGTCCAGGGTGGCGCGCACGGGGGACAGCCTGGAGGCGGCGGCCAGTACTCACAAAGCCCACTGGAGCCGGTGCTGGTGAACATGGTCCCGACAGACCCGGAGCCCCCGCCGAGGGGGAAGGGGGAGGGGAGGCGGCGGTGGCGAGACCCCGCGGCCGCGCAGGCGCACTGCAGGCCGTGCGGCGAAGCCGGCAACTCGCTCCCACTCGAGGGCCGCCCGGCGTACTGCGCATGCGCGGCCGCCGGGGCGCTCACGCTCGGTCCGTCCCCTCCCTTCCTGCCAGGCAAGGGAAGTGCGTCCTCCGCAGGAGGGTTCCGCCTCCCGGGTGCGCGTCCCAGGTGCTTCCGACGGCGGCCTCGCGAACAGGGGCGCACGGGCTGGGAGGAGCTGACCCCCAAGTGCAAGAATGCTCCGGGCATTCCTCCCAACTCGACTCCGCAGAGTTCCCAGACCCGACGTCCCATGGACGCCAGGCCCTGTCCACGCATCATCAGCCCTCAACCCCAAGTTCACGTCTCCAGGGATGGTTGCAAGAACCTTCTCAAGTCCTGGCACCCAAACCCAGCAGGTCACACTGATCTCACGACGCTGGAACAAGACCCAGAGCTGGAAAACCCTCCCTGTCACTGAAATTGAAGCCATCCAGTTTCTCATCCCACCTTCATTTACCCCGCTTCTGATCAGCCTGAATCGCCACAAAAAGAACATCATGAGGCCGTCCTGGGATTGCCACCAGCACCACCTTGGACCCTGGTGGGCAGCTTCACTGGCGGAGGGAGTTTTGGGGAGCCAGCACTTAAGAAATCTAAAAATTAATTGCATTCGGAAAATCAGCTGTCGAGGACTAATGTAGAGCACTAAAGAGCAATGGTGTCGTTCTAGACACTAAGGTGTGCCTGATCTAAGCCATGGCCTTCTCAGTTGCTTGCTTTGCATCTGAGAGCTGGACAGTGACCGAGGATGACAGAAGAATTGATGTCTTTGAATTGTGCGGGGGATGAGTTTTGAGTATACATGAAAACAAGAAAACAGTTCTGTCTTGGAAAGGGTGGAACCACATTGCTCCTTGGAGGCTAGGATTTTGAAACTCCGTGTCACAGACTTCAGGCGTGTTGTCAGGAGGTACCAGTCCTTGGAGGACATCATGCTTGCAAAGGGAGAGGGTCAGTGCAGGAAAGAAAGACCCTGGATGGGATGGTTTGACAGAGTGACTGGCAAGAGACAGGTTGGCTGAGAATAGGGCACGGTTCAGAGTCATTGTTCAGAGTCACTGAGTTGTAGTCAATTCAATGATCACCACCATCCTGTTCTCCAGGCTTCAACCCTGGCTATTCCTTCAAGACTTGAGTTTTTTAAATTAATTCTAGGCTACCCCTCCTTTTGTAGAATGAAATTAATCTTTACTAAAAGTCAGAATTTTTTAAAATATTTTTTAAGTTAGAAAAAATTTGCTGTTACTTTACACAACTGGGTTTCTTCAAATATTTTA